CCCCCCAAAAAAAGTGTACACTCCGGGCGCGCCAAAGGGGAGCAAAGAACGAGACCGGGGGACACGACGAAACCTGGGGAAACGAAAGCGAGAACATTAACCCTCTGGGGTCTAGGGGTAGGAAACACACTTTCACTGACTGGCGCATGATCACACATTTCTTCAAATATCATAAACTTAATTCATGGCTGTCACACAAGGGGAGAGAAAGAGGCTCGGACCCAGGACTGCAAGGAGTAGGCCTACAGGTTTTTAATCCTATAAATGACAGGCAGGTTGACAAGGGTAAAATCGGCAGACGAGTGTCGTGGTCGTTGTGCGGGAACGAGAGTCGGTTGCCAGGTATTCAGTCCAACGAAGAGGCTCAGGACGGACGAACACGAGGGTGAGAGGACAGGCGAAGCCGGGCTCAGCAGGGCAGGAGCGTTAGGGATGGGAGCTGGACTGTGGGAGGAAGGCACAACAGGTAAGGATCCGACAAAAGAGGAATTGACAAGGTACGGGGATCTGGGAAGACAAAAGACAAGAGAACGCTCGGTATGGCTTATTTTCATTAGCTCAATACTTCGCGAGTGTTCCACGGTCTCCCTTCCCTTTTAAAGGAAGTCTAATCAGGGGCAGAGGAGCTGTCCCCGTCGAGCCCCGCCCCCGTGGACGTTACAATGGCAAATAAATGATTTCTTATATGTTTGTTTTGCCATTACACTCATCTTTACTTGTATATTGTATATTGTAAATATGTCAGATTTTTGTTAAGTTCGTAATTTGACATCAAAGTATAGACATTGCAAAATGCAGTTTGGAACACTTGCAGAAACATTATAAAAGTACATAGTAAGCAATGCTGGCAGTTTGTTTTGATCCCAGATATCTGATCACCAAAGTCTTGGCTACATGAAGATGACTAAATGGTGTAGTTGCAACATTCAGTTGGATAAATAAATAAGAAAAAGGTAACTCATGCCACTATTTCTGGCTCATTTCATTGAATATGTAGCAACTTTCACGTGTTTGAATGAGCCATTGACACCTGGCCACGTCCCCAACCCCCTTTTATGGCTCTGACCCGGATGTATCTGGATCGCGTTTCACCGCTGCGTTGTTCATTTGATTGACCATGTGAATGCGATTTGAATACGCGCTAATGCGGCTATTTAGAATGTGAATAGTGATCTTCGGGTGAGAGTGGTACTACACACCCCCGATGCAGATAAAACAAAGTAAGGTGACATGGTTTACTTTTTTGCCGATTTAATCTAATTTTAAAAACTTTGATACTTCCGACAATAGACGTTTTGAAAAGAAGACAGATTACGGATTTATCCAGCATTTTTTCATGATTCTACATTAAGATTTCAGCGAGATATAAACTGAAATAGACGCGAAAAGTACACTGCGTCGCCAACAATGCACTCGACCCCAGAGGGTTAACAAGGCACGGGGAACAGCACGGGCACACAGAACAGGCACAAGGATAACAACTTGGACAACAAGCAACAAAC